TCACACAAAAATACAGTTGTTTCATCTCTCTCTCTCTCTGCAGGTGCTCCTCATGGCATCGGCAGTGGTGGTAGGCCGGCAGTTCTTTCGTTGTCCTCTCCCCCCTCCCATCTTACCGATCTCCGATCTCACCAATGGTGGTAGCAGCGGTTCCTCTGACATTCTCTCCCTCATCCCATCTCGCCGATCTTCGATCTCGCCGATGGCCGTAGCGGCAGTTCCTCTGCCGTCTTCTCCCTCCTCCCAAATCTTGCTGATGTCACTGATCGTTCATATCTCGCCGTCGCCGATCTCCTTGCTCAAGAACATCACGGCGACTCACTCCTCCCAGATTTCGCCCATCTCTTTGATTTTTCTTTTTTTGATTGTTGTGTATAATTATTTTGTTGATCTGTTGTGTAAGTATACATGATCTGTAACAGATCATCTGCTGTTGATGTATCGTGTATGATATTGTTGATTTGTTGATGATGTTGATCTGCCATGTTTTTTTTTTGGACCGAGAAATTTTTTGGGTTGGGGAAACCAGATCCCCATTAGGGGACGGGGGCGGGGGCGGTGATAGCTTCCTTATTAGGGATCGGGGCCAGGAACGGGAAAATTTTTGCCATCGGGGACCGGGGATAGGGAGTGTGATCCCTGGCCCCGCCCCACCCCGTTGCCATTCCTATCATCACACCACAGATCTGTTTACTTTCATCACACTGCATATTCAATCAACAACAATTATAATCAATAATAACAACAACTAAAAAAAAAAAGATTTGTTTCAGATCTATTGAACACATATACATCTGAGACGATCTAGATTATTCAAATAAAATCTAGATCCGTTGACTTAGCAAGATTTGGATCTGACAATCTAGATTTTGCGACCAAAGCAGTGGAGCAACAGAGGAGATCGAAGGAGGAGCAATGGTGGTGCGAGGGGGAGAGACAATGAGAGTCCAAATTGGCAGACGGAGTTGGTGGCATCGGCGGTGACGGAGATGGTGGTGTCGGTGGTGATAGAGATGGTGAACAAAGTATTTTAAAGTCTGAATTTTTGATTAAACAAAATTTAAATTTGAATTTATAAATTGAGTGTCCAAATAATTATTAGTAAAACAAAATTAATTATTTTTGTTAGACACGCAAGAAATAAATCATGATTTACGTAACACCTTTTTGAAAAAAATTTAGTCCATGTGTGGTTTGAAGAATTATTACGCCTCCGTTTGGGAAGTGGGTTGGCTTTTTGGCTTTTTGACTTTTTTGGCTATTTTAGCCTGGGCTATCGGTGGTGATAGAGATGGTGAACAAAGTATTTTAAAGTCTGAATTTTTGATTAAACAAAATTTAAATTTGAATTTATAAATTGAGTGTCCAAATAATTATTAGTAAAACAAAGTTAATTATTTTTGTTAGACACGCAAGAAATAAATCATGATTTACGTAACACCTTTTTGAAAAAATTTTAGTCCATGTGTGGTTTGAAGAATTATTACGTAAGTTCCAAATTATCATTTGATATTATTTTGGGGGTGTGCGGGATATGATTTGGGTGGTTTGAAGGCAAAATTATTAAGCAAATCGTAAATGAAGAATTGACAAATAATCAAATCGTGGTTTGGATGGTTTTAGAGTTTTCAATTTGTTAATTGATTGAAGAATAATCTTAAATACTTATTATAAGTATTTACATAATATATAATATTAATTTACGCAATATTTTTTATATATATAACACAGATTAATTTTATATAATATTATATATATAATAATAATTTAAAATAAATTTTATATCTTAAATCTCTTCATACTAATTTTATTTTAATATTTTATTAAAAGTTAAAAATAAATATACGTGTTAATTATAACGGAGCAGTTTGGGATACGAATTGTAAATTTCAAAGTATGGATCAATCTAACCCATGGTTAGCAGGCGGATTAATGATGATCAGACAGTTTCAGTACACTGGATAGTCTTTACACAATCCTAATATTATCTATATATATATATATATATATGACAAAAAACATATCTATTAACTATTTTAAAAAATATATTAATATTATGTTATCGGCAATTTTTCTACTAAATAATTATTTGAGAACATCATATGTATAAGGAAAATGAATGAGAGTATTAATTAGTGTTATTACTAATGATGTGGCAGTAGGTCTCACCATGAATGATTTGATGTTTTGGCTTTGGTGTTGTATTTTTTTCTTTTTTTATTGAGTGTCATGTCATTAGTGGTCTTTTTAGAGCTCCAAAATTAGTGGTCTCTATCATTGTTGAGGATGGAGGAGGTGATATAGATGGAGGTTGGAAGGGGGATTGAGATGGAGGATGTGGAGATGATATTAGAAAAATAGTGAGGGATTATAAATTTTTTTATTTTTTATATATTGGGAATTTTTTTGGAAAATTTACCCATAAGTCCTAGTTTTTGAAACGTTGAACCATTTAGTCCTAAAAGTTTTCTTATGCTCTATTTAGTCCCATTATTACATCAACATGATGTGAATGATGTAAATGATCTGATGTTTCATTCTATAATTTCAAAATTTATTGAAATCTAGTGAACATTAGATGTTTTTCATCATATATTTTCAAACATTATTGAAATTTGATGAACATTAGATGTTTGAAATCCAATGTTTGTAACATGACTCTGATGTTATTAACATTGTATCTGATGTTATTAACATTGTAATGGGACCTTTCAGTCTATAAGAAAACTTTTAGGACTAAACAGTGCATAAGTTATTAATTTGGGATTTATTGGTGCATCCCCCAAATAAAAAATTTATCATTAATTTTTTTTGAAAAAATTATTTATAAATCCTATTAGGGAGACTTATGCTACATATGGTCCTACTAAAAAATTTATGTTTCCATAAGTCCTGTGAGAAGTTTGTTGACACATTTACCCTCAATATTAGTTGTCAATATTATAAATAATAGTAAAACCATATATAGGAAATTGAATGTTGCCATAGATCATATCTATATAAACGTAACTTACACTTATGATTTATGACAACATTCAATTTCTTATATAGGAAATTGAATATTGTCATAGATCATATGTACATAAACGTAACGTAACGTGATACTTACATAAACGTAACGTGACACCTATAATCTATGACAACATTCAATTTCTTATATAGAAAATTGAATGTTACCATAGATCATATTTATATGAAACGTAACGTGACACCAACATTTGTTAATTTTTTTTCCATAAATGATATAATGATTAATATAATTTTTTTATAAGATATATAATATTTAAATTTTTTATTGACACCGCTAGAGTAGCCACTGATGTAGATCATTGCTACTAAGAAATGATCCAATACGTAAATGGCCTGCCAAACTTGAACTTGGAATGTATATAGGAATCTAATTTTTTTTAATATTGCACCTTCTTGTATTTCTAATTAATTGTCTCTTGATGTCAGAAGAATTATTTATACTAGCCTCCATTTAATTTCTGCAGTACCTTTATTAACCAAAATAAATAAATTTAAAAATTAATTACGTAAAAACTAAGAAAATATGATTTTTACTTTTACATATTATCAAATTTCAACTTAAAAAAGGGTTAATTGAAGAACTTAGTTAAAAGTTAATTTTTGGTTTTTAATATATTTTGAATTATATTATCTATCTATTTTTTTTACACATTTTAAAAAAAATTAAAAAAATTAAAAAATTAACTTTTAACTAACTTCCCAAAACAAGTTAAGCTATACTAAGAGCATCTCCATCAATTTTGCTAAATCTTACTTTTAGTGGAAATAGCAAGCAAAATAGAAAAAAATTTGTTCCAACAGCCTCGCTCCATGCTTGGCAGTTTAATACAGAGTTATAGTTGCTAGTTACTTCTAGCGAGGTATTGTAGCATTGCTAACCAAGTAAAAAATAAGAAAAAATGAAAAATTGGTGTATATTTGAAAAAAAAAATGGGAGACTTATTTATAAGTTATTTTTCAGACACTTATAGTAGGCTAAGTTCTGTGTAATTTTTTATAGAGTCTCAAGTCCTATTTAGATATGAATGTATTCCACAAGATCTTACATAAACGTAACGTGACGTGACACTTACATAAACGTAACGTTACGTGTCACCTATATAAACGTAACGTAACGTAACGTGACACCTACATAAACATAACGTAATGTGACACCTACGTAACGTAACGTGTCACATTACGTTTCGTAAACTTAATGAGTTTTTTTTTTTTAAATTGAATGTAAAAATGTTGCTGGTTTATGTTGGTGTCACGTTACGTTTCATATAAATATGATCTATGGTAACATTCAATTTTCTATATAAGAAATTGAATGTTGTCATAGATTATAGATGTCACGTTACGTTTATGTAAGTATCACGTTACGTTACGTTTATGTACATATGATCTATGACAATATTTAATTTCCTATATAAGAAATTAAATGTTGTCATAAATCATAAGTGTCACGTTACGTTTATATAGGTGTCACGTTAAGTTACGTTTATATAGATATGATCTATGGCAACATTCAATTTCCTATATATGGTTTTACTATTATTTATAATATTAACAACTAATATTGAGGGTAAATGTGTCAACAAATTTCTCACAGGACTTATGGAAACATAAGTTTTTTAGTAGGACCATATGTAGCATAAGTCTCCCTAATAGGACTTATAAATAATTTTTTCAAAAAAAATTAATGACAAATTTTTTATTAAAGTCATAATTTTTTTTATGAGTATGTAATTATTTTGAAAAATTACGCCTGATTTGTTTATATTTATTTGTTCATAATATTTTAATAAAATACAATTTTAAAATAAAAAAATTTAATGAAGAGTGTACATAAAAAAAATAATAATTAAAATATAAAAAAAATGAGAGAGTAGATTTTAAGTTATAATTTGACTATTGAGGCTGATGCTAAACGAACCAATGTATTTTTGCAGGTTCTTGGAACAGACAATACAATAAAAAATTGTACATATATGACCACTAAATCTATATATAGTACACATCTCCCTCCATATCTCCCCCCAACCTCTCTCTCTCTCAACTCAATTCTCTCTCCCTCTAGATTGATTATTACATAAACATCACCATGTTTGCAGCTAATGATCAAATGCTGCAGTACCCTTCCAGACCATTGATGATAGAAAGAAGCTGGAAGTCCTGCAATGCTGCCGAGATAGCACCAAACTGTCCAAGGTGTGCCTCCACTAACACAAAGTTCTGCTACTACAACAATTACAGCTTTTCCCAGCCTAGGTACTTCTGCAAAGGCTGCCGCCGTTACTGGACCCGCGGAGGTTCCCTCCGCAACGTTCCCGTAGGCGGCGGCTGCCGCAAGACCCGCCGAGCTAAGGTGGTTCGGTCGTTACAAAATCAACGACCGACCACCGTCACCTCCGAGTCTGACCCACCACCACCCGTGGCGCTGTCGTGCAGGTCCGGTGGTGGTGGATCAGACATCGATCTTGCCGAGGTTTTCGCCAAGTTCTTGAATCAGAATAATCCAACTCGAGAAGATGATCGGAATCAACAAAACCAGCAATTAATGCAAGATGTTGTAGTGAATCAACAAAAAGAGCAATTGAGTCAGGAATTTGGGGTGGGTAGTGAGTTGGGTTCTGTGGGTTTGCAAACCATGGTTAGTGATCTTGAGTTAAATCAAGGGCTTCTTCAATGGTGTGATGATCAGACAATTTTGCCAGGGTTTGAATGGCAACCAATGGTGGATTTGCAAGAGTTTGGATCGTTTTCATCGGATGATGATCAGCCTGAGATTTCTGCAAACTTAATTAGCGATAATTGGAGCATGTTCGATTTATCAGAATATATATGAGAATTTTTCTAGTCCCTGAAACCAGATTTAAACGTTTCTTAATTACTAATTTCTTCAGAATTTTTTTTTTTTTTTAAATTTTAGTTTCGTATGTTCGAATTAACTGTTTCATGAAATTGAAAGAGATTTGTGACATTATACCCAAATCAAATTATTACAACATTATTTCTTGTGACATTTCGGAGACAAAAAACAAGATCGGTCAATGTGAAGAAATATCTCGGTAGTGTTCGGTAACATTTTCGTTTTTTTTTTTTTTGTTTGTTTGTTTGTTTGTTTTTGTTTATAAAAAATTAATAAATTGATTTTTATTTATTTTTAAAAAAAATATAAACTATAAACGTGTTTGATTTAAATAAAATGTTTGAAAATTTTTAAAAATATAAATTAAGATATATGTTTGTTCATGTTTAAAATATTTAGATTTATTTTTTATTATTTATGACAATAAGATCATACGTATTATAATTAAAAAAATTAATAAAAAAATAATTAAAAAAAAAATTGTTAGTCAAATTTTTAAATTTTTGTTTAAAAATTAACGTAAACTCATTTTTTGAGTTTACATTTTTTTTTTCAAATTTATAAACTGAGATAACCATTTATAAATCAAAAAAAATTATCAAAAAAGTTTTTTTGAGAATTTTTTTAATTTTTATAAATATAAACTGAAAATTAAAATCGAAATAATTATCAAACAGACCATTCAAAACTACCTACTTGCTCTGTTCCAAAATAATAGTCCCTTTTAGATAATCTAACTTTTTTTTTGTAGTACAATTATTACATTTTAAAAAAGTTAATTTTTCAAAATTATCCTTTTAATAGTATATTTTTTGAAAATATTAATGTCATAATTGTACTTTTTATATTGTTTATTAATTTAAAAGAATGGTAAAATAACAAATTTATATTATTGTTGTATTTGATTTTTGAAGATGGACTAATATTTTAGGAAAATAAAAAATAAAATAAAGAATTAATATTTTAAGCCGGAGGAAGTAATAATTTTCTCGTATTAGCGTGAGATATTTCCTTTTTCTTCCGAAAATTATAAGCGTTGTTAAGCTTTAAGTACACCAATAAATGGTCTAGATTCCACGTTTATGCCGCAACTATTGTTAATAGCAATGAAATAATGTTATAAGACAGTGCTAAGCGTATTGGTACTTCTTACATAAAAGACGAGACTCATCAAATATAATAATTAGTGTAATATAAGATGTCATATATTAAAGGGTTGTTTGGAGTGTCTTAAATAAGTATATTTTTTTGACTTTTTATGAAATATGAGTTGGGTATGGGTTGGGTTTGAAATGATGTGATAGAAAAGTGATCTGACTTAAATAAGATGATGTGATTTAAATAAAATAGTGACTTTTTAACTTTTTGAATTTTTTTGAGAATGCCAAACTTGACCTAAATAAAATGTACTTAAATTGATTACCTAGAGATGATTAGATGACAGTTAGATATGTTAATGTAATTGTTTTGTCTCAATTTTATACTATTATTACATTAATAAATTTCTTGATAAATCATATCTCCCTCCCCTAAGCTGAATTTTTGTTCCTAGCATTAGTTCTCAGTTTGACGCAACGAAATTTATGAACTCAAAAATCTTATGCAGGTCAAGTTTGGCTATTCTAAATAAGTACACATTTTTTATCTTTTTATTTTTTTTCTATCACATCACTTCTCTACTTTTCTGAACATCTTTTCGTAAAAAGACAAAAAATATACTTATTTAAGGCATTCCAAACAATCCCTTACTCAGCAAAAGGTATCAGATTTTTGCTCAGAACATGATTTTTTATGAAAAAAATTGGAGGAATTTCGATTTTAGTGTAAGTTTTTTAAAAAAATTACAGATAAATGATAAATTTTATACATATTAATATTAACAAGTAAGCCATATGAAATTTTTCATGATTTTGTGACAAATTTTTCATAGTTCCACTTGATAAATAATTTTTTCAAAAAAATTTGAATCATAGACAGATAGGAAAGACTATGGTGCACATCTCAAAGGGTTTGTATTTGAAGTGTGTACCATATGCACCTTATAATTAAAAAAAAAATGACATAATTTAAGCAATTTACTCTTTTTGTTAAAAAATAAAATAAATAAATCACTTCACGCTTAAATAACGTGTATGCTGGACGTTACAACAAACAAAACATCAGATCCAACCCATAATCATTACATTCTTCTCTCACAAAAAAACTCAAAAAAGCCAAAAAGCCAAAAAGCCCTTCCCAAACCAAGCTTTTAAGTCCAGGCTAAAATAGCCAAAAAAGCCAAAAAGCCAAAAAGCCAAAAAGCCAACCCACTTCCCAAACGGAGGCTCAGGTTAAGTTTGGCTATTCTAAATAAGTATACATTTTTTATCTTTTTATTTTTTTTCTATCACATCACTTCTCTACTTTTCTGAACATCTTTTCGTAAAAAGATAAAAAATGTACTTATTTAAGGCATTCCAAACAACCCCTTACTTAGCAAAAGGCATCAGATTTTTGCTCAGAACATGATTTTTTATGAAAAAAATTGGAGGAATTTCGATTTTAGTGTAAGTTTTTTTAAAAAATTACAGATAAATGATAAATTTTATACATATTAATATTAACAAGTAAGCCATATGAAATTTTTCATGATTTTGTGACAAATTTTTCATAGTTCCACTTGATAAATAATTTTTTCAAAAAAATTTGAATCATAGACAGATAGGAAAGACTATGGTGCACATCTCAAAGGGTTTGTATTTGAAGTGTGTACCATATGCACCTTATAATTAAAAAAAAAATGACATAATTTTATATTTTTTGAGTCATAATTAAAAAAATTCATAATTACTATATGAGATATAATCAAAGATCTCATTAGTCATAATTAAAATATTTTTATAATTAAAGAAAAAAAATTATTCATAACTAAAAAAACAAACTTAATTAAGGGGTTGTTTGGGATGTCCTAAATAAGTGCACTTTTTGACTTTTTGAACTAAAAAGTTGAGAAAAAAAATATGGTTGTTTGGGTTAACTTTTTGACTTTTTATGAAAAAATGTGTATTAAAAAATTGTATAAATTAGTATATAGGAAAAAATTAGAATTGAAAATTGTGCAGCCGTACTTCTTAACTTTTGGTGAATAGTGATAACTTTTTAACTTTTTGAGTAATTTTTTAACTTTTTTGACACATGTCAAACTTGACCTAAAAATATACAAAAGATTTTTATAGCCTGTGTTTGGCAAGGGCTTTTTTAGGCTTTTTTGGCTATTTTAGCCACAAAAAACAAAATAGGCTATTTTAGCCATAACAAACAAAACATCACATCCAACCTATAATCATTACATTCTTCTCTCACAAAAAAAAGTCAAAAAGTCAAAAAGTCCTTCCCAAACTAAGCTTTTTAGCCCAGGCTAAAATAGCCAAAAAAATCAAAAAACTAAAAAGTCAACCCACTAAAAAAAATTATTCATAACTAAAAAAACAAACTTAATTAAGGGGTTGTTTGGGATGTCCTAAATAAGTGCACTTTTTGACTTTTTGAACTAAAAAGTTGAGAAAAAAAATATGGTTGTTTGGGTTAACTTTTTGACTTTTTATGAAAAAATGTGTATTAAAAAATTGTATAAATTAGTATATAGGAAAAAATTAGAATTGAAAATTGTGCAGCCGTACTTCTTAACTTTTGGTGAATAGTGATAACTTTTTAACTTTTTGAATAATTTTTTAACTTTTTTTGACACATGTCAAACTTGACCTAAAAATATACAAAAGATTTTTATAGTAGAATTTCTGTATAATGATAATTCTAAATAAAATTTTGAATGAAAGATATATTACGTTGTTTATGAACTACCTGATATCTTGAGGCACATCACCATTGATTTGGGCCCATCAAATGATGTGCCTCCTTATATGTGAAGCTGAATGATGGTGATGCCTAACTACCAAAATTTTTAGCAATAAAATGGCATTGGTAGCTTTAACTTTAAAAGCACCATCTAAAAAAAAAATTAACTTTAAAAGCAGAAGCACTCTTTTTATTTATTTATTATTTATTTTTGGTTTTGTTGTTGGTTTATTATGGCTACAAAAGGAACAAGATTGATCCATCCCAAATGAATTTGGTAGTAGTCTGCTACTTTTTAAAACTTAAATAGAACAATTTATTATTATTTTCTTATTACGTATTTTTTTAATACATGTTATGTATTTTTTTGATAAAATTAAAAATAATTTATAATTTAAAAACAAAATTATACATTTTGTATTAATGTTAAGTATTTTTGTAGTAAAGTTATATATTTATTTTTGGTTATAAAATATTTGGATAAAAAAATTTGAAACATTTCTACAAAAATACATAATATTATCATAAAATAAATAACTTTATTCCTAAATTATAAATTATCATAACTTTATCAAAAAATATGTAATATTTAGCGTAAAAATATATAATACATACCACAAAAAATATATAACAAAATATATATTATACAAGCTTTTTCAGGATTGCCTACAACAGAAATTCCCTTACCTTTAGGACGTCTTTTGAGAAGTGACTCATATAGGATTCGTTTGGAAATTTGGTTATTGTTTGACTTTTTATTTTTTTAATTGTTTTAATTTAGAATTAAAAAGTCTTATTTGATAAGAGTTTTATTGACTTTTTGATTTTTTTTATGAAAGAAAGAATATAATGATTATGAGTTAAGGCCAAGTTTAGCAAGTTGTCAAAAAATCAAAAAGTTACTCAAAACGTTAAAAAATTATCACTATTCATCAAAAGGTAAAAACTACAGTTGCACAACTCCCAATCCTAATTTTTCTCTACACACTAATTTATACAATTTTTTAATACACATTTTTTCATAAAAAGTTAACCCAAACATCCATATTTTTTTCCTCAATTTTTTAGTCCAAAAAGATAAAAAGTACACTTATTTAGGACACCCTAAACAATCCCTAAATGTGATGTTTTATCTTATTAAATTAAAAAGTCTATTTTATTTTTTTTTGTAATTATTTTAACAAAAAAAACCCCAAACCCTCTTTTCCAAACAAGCTCATAAGCCAATTACTTTTTGATTTTTGCGAATCAAATCAATTCTCTACTTTTATTTTTTTTATTTTATCAATACTCTACTTTTATTTTTTTATCTTTTTA